GAACTGTACGGATAATCTGCGCGTGTATGGGGCGCTAATCAAAGACAATGGATGGACATTATTAATAACAATTGGTCTTTCTGCCCTTTCATTGCCATGCAGACCTTTCCGGTCTATGCATGCATAATTACTGCACAACTAAACCCAGGCATGTAAAAACATTGAGTTGGGATAAAAAGCTCATTTTCAATGAGTACAAACATCAATTTCATCGGCACTCACCACTCTCCCTCGATCTGTGAGCAGCCGGCGGTTCCGCAACAGATTCGGCGCCAGGTACGTTCTGTTGGGCGAGGTTCCGCAGGGCGGCAGCAAACGAATGGCTGTATTGGCTGTTGGAGGAACCAGGGCCAGGTCCTGGCACAGTATGGCCAGTGGTGGATGAGCGCGGTTTCGGATTGGTCATTCCAGAGCAAGCGCCGCTCACTGGCACATTTGCTATGCTGCCATTGGTCGCACTCGGAACGGTGGGAGGTAGTTTGTTTGGGCTGTTAGGTACTCCTTTAATGGAAAAATATCTCTTACTTGCAGTGCAGTATTCTATGCCGGCATAAGTCTCTTGAGTATTTCAGTTTTCAAGAATTTAAACAAAGAAAAGTCAAATAGCCACTACGGGGATCAAATAAACACCGCAAACTCTCCCCCCTTTGGCATTAGACAAAATAGGTTAAATCGGCAGTACTCTTTCAAAGTCGCCAAATCTAATAAGTTGATTAAAACGCGACGTTTCTGGAGTGGCTTGGACTTAAGGGTTGTGAACTGTCGACCCTCGTCACACCCTCCTCTGTCTGAGGTCAGTCGGGCAATTTATCTTTCAGTCACTACGAGAAGGCGAAACTCATTGAGACAAGAAATATATGTTAGTATTAACTCTGATCTCGCAAAAAAAAATAATTTTTTGGAGAAATTTGGCCATCAATCTTCAGTACAGGAGTCGGACATTTTTTCTCAAAAAAAGTTGGGTCAAATCATCCTCTGTTGAACCAAAAAATGTCGCACATGAGCTCCCGGGACACCCTGTATATCGAACACCATTACATGTATACAGGGTGTAAGTAACATGTTGTGATTTTTCCATACCTGCCTCAGATTAATCACAAATTGACCTTATAAAGTTCTTTTGATGAAATAAACAAGGAGCGCATAAAAACGAGTGTGCCATTAAACGGTGACAACAGCAAAATAAAGTCAAAACCTACAAAATAATTGTGGAAAATGAGCCCCCGCTTCAAAACCATAAAATCTTCTGACACCCTGTAGAGCGTAATCGAAGCATTTTTAACCCCATGTTCATATTAACTTTCGCTCATAAAACCGACTGAGGAATACGCCCTTGAAATTTGTCTCGTCAATTAGGACACGACACCCTGTATAATATACCCACTCGGTACATAAGAAAATGGGGGAAAACTGCCTCGGCGTTTTTATCGACTCGGGAATGTAAAAGCCACTTTTTATTACCTTCCACCCCATAATAGTAGGGATAAGAATAGGGGCTGCAATAGGGATACTTCAAGTCGAGTTTGAAATCCATATTCCGGGCCTTCTCTCTCTCGCACTACACTCCGCACGGCTCTTTTCAATCCACTTGCCAATTATTCTGGCTTTTAACCACAGTGATATTCTTATTTAACAGGAAAATGTCTATTCTTGCCTTTTACACCCTTAGCTAGTGCCTACTGCCCAGACGACCGGTCGATAAATAATTAAAAACTATTAATTAAAATGCAATAAACCCCCTTTGCAGTGATCAATTCCGCAAATCAACGCACTGTTTACTGTTAATTCGAATAATGATCGCACACTGATGCAACAGTAATTTTTCGCAAAAATTGCCGGAACAAACGTGGAGAACCGGGATAAAACACCGACACTGTCGACTGATTCTCGTAACAAAAAGATCGGTATGGGGCGTATGACGGCGCAAAATGCGGTCACGGGTCCGGGATGCGCTTATTGACGGGTGTTCGTTCTAAAAGACTTCATTTCCATAGTGGAGCGAACTCCATGCGGCGTTGAGGGAATGGGAGAGAACCGAATAAATAGCCAGGCTTGGGGACGTCAACATCCGGCTAATTTCACTATTTAGCCGAACTTTTACGTTCGCGTTCAAACTGTACGAGTTTAAACCAAAACATTTTCAAAGCGATTATTCCGAGTTAATGTATTTTTGTATCTCAATAGAAAGTTCTCGCTTAAAACATACGAGCATTTCATAACAGTTAAATTTTTTCACTGTATCGTCATTCATAAAATATAAAATTATAACATTTAATTTACACTTTTCAACTCATCGAAAATATTTGCATGACTTACCTGAGTTTTGTTCAGTCTTTGAATTCATCTTTCTCTCCATAATTTTTGGTGAATGGTTCTTTCTGGTGGGTTTGGCTAGGAACGTTGGGGGTGCCTGTGAAACCAAGCCAAAAACCCAAGTTGAGCCGCCAACGCAGTAAAAAAGTGCGACTTACTACTTTATCACTTCGTTGTCCGCTCGGTAAACGGGCAATGCCGGCCTCGGGACTATCCTCTGGGGGCGGGGGTTGTGTTATCCAATTATATTGCCGCTTGTCTAAAGGTAAGCCCCATCTAAAAAAGTGACCCAATAACAAGTTTCGATTGGTGTTACTCAGCCGATTATCTCAGGCACCTTTCATATTCCAATGACTGGGTTCTCAGCGTCTCGTAGCAGTCCAAACATACAACTGAATAGTCGCCGTTTTCCAACAGCAGTGAGTTGTCAGGCTGCGGGTGGAATCTCAAAAACGGAAAATCCTGCAAAGAATCAGGAAAATTTGTTCTGCAATTTCGCTGCCACCCATCAATCTTACCTTAATAAGTAACGCGCGCACTCGTTTCCGGTAAGTGGTAATTCCGCAGACATAACAGCAGTAGTCGTGAGTGTTGTATTCGCGAGCGTCTGCGGGCGGTACTCGATTGCCTTGAGACTCGTACCTACGCCACTGATGAACTAAGCTATGGTAACAGAACGTACAAACCAGCGCACTGCCATCGTCTCTAAGCTGCTCAGCGCTGGGCGGACTTTTGTGGCGCAGCAGGACCGGAAAATAGGGCGCATTTCTACCTACAATAAAATATCTAGATGACAAATTGAACCACCTCGAAGCGAAAACGGACAGAAAAAGTCGTTGCTTTCGTTTTGTTTACACACCTTGAGGTTTACTGTACACCACTCGAGCGAGGGTGAATTCCGAATGCAAACCACACAGAAAACAGTATATGCTGCTGCCACCTGAGGATGGTTGGCTGCAAACCGTTCTATCACTGTTCGTGCTGGGGGGTGTGGGGATGCCTCGATCACCGTTCATCAGCGTCGTATCTGGCAAAGGTACATCATATCTGAAGATCAACAGCATTTGATTCTCAACATTCGCACGCAGCAACAATGGGAATTTACCTTCGCCGCTCTAAAGGCACCCGATCGGTTTCGAAAGTCTCCCATTGCTGCGCCAAATGGTTCACGCATCTCGTACAGCTCAGAACCCGTCCATGCGAATCCATGCAACTGTTCTCCAACGTTCGTCCGATCTGGAAATTCAATTGGCATCAATTGAAGCATTCCGGAATGACCGTAAAACATACGCAAACCTTCGACAGGCAAGGAAAGTGCATAGCATGCGAGTTCATGCCCTCCGCCGAAGTACTGATCCATTCCATCTGATCTAAAGTATAGAGGCCTGCGCAAATATAGCAGCGGTAACTTTGCGACCCCGAATGTCCATTGATGTCCACCAAGGGTGAAGTGGTCCTGGCAGCCAACGCCGCCTGAAAATCGAAAATTTCGGGTTGCTTTACCTTCACTAACCTAGATTTAAGTAAAACAGAGCGCGCTGAGGCGCAAGGAAAACTAGAACGGGTCGATGCTGTAATCAATAAGGCCACTGAATGTTTACAACGAAGTGCGGATTATTAACGAATTGATCTTTGATATTCGACGTCACCGATTTCGCTACTCAAAACGCACAGACTATAACTTTATA